AACTGTGATAACGCACGCATAACAAAAGTAAACTGACGCAATTGTCACACGAAAATTGCACTTTCGTTTACTGTTATTTAATTTCATTTGTCTTCGTTCGTGTTAATTAAATTTTTCACGATCTGAAGAGATTATGCGCCCCATCAATTTTTTTTCGCGACCCAAACATTGGGTCGCGACCCATATGTTGCGGAACGGTGTGCTACGCTACAGCTAAAATTTAAGTATGAAAGGACTACTTTACAATTCACAGATTGCATACAGGCCTAAGAATCAAATTATAATTATAGTTCAGTATATGCCTTGTTGATACAGTATTGTACTGTGAAGGGGTGCATTGGTAGCATTCGTGACACTCGATTACTTTGAGTACTAATGGGCCCCCAACCACATGACTCATCGTTTATAGGCCTATGCCACTGAATGCATGATGAAGAAAAAAATCAAATCAAAATCATATGATTTATTACAGCTTTAATTGATAGACACTTCAATGATGTTAACAGAATAATGAATAGGCGTAGCTTGGTCCTACTCTGTGGTATAAGTACTGTCTCTTATACACATCTAGATGTGTATAAGAGACAGTTGTTAAGCCTTCTATGCGCTTCACATTATTATTACCCGGTCATTATGAAACACAAACTCAAGCTCCCTGGGGGAGTATTCCATAACGTTGTAACAGCTACATCAGCGCATTTTGGCATTTAGCCCTACCAGGTAGCCACTTTTACTTCTGGGTGGAGAGAAGCAATGCAGATAAAGTGTCTTGACCAAGGACCTCGAGGTTAGGAAACCTAACCGTTCCCGCTGCGCCAAACCACTTCCACGGGTATATTTGTACACTTTGAATATAGACCCCGATATAGACCTAATAGGCCTACTTTTAAGATACGATATTTTCTTTGATAAATTGGAATAATAAATTGGAAGTATAAATGAAATTTATAATAATTTATAAAATTATTATTATGATATTCTTTAGAGTGTAAAACCTCGGCAGGATCTGTCACCCCTCTCGTTGTTGGAATGATTTTTCTGGGTATCATCATCGGAACCATACTGTCGTCGTCTGTATCTATTATCCTCTGGAAAATGAAAATTTCATCAAAGGTAACAATAGATTTTCTATGAATATTATACCAATATTTTGAGTATGTTAGACATAATTTAAATAGAAATTTAACCCAAAAAATGAAGAAAAAAAAACAACTTTGAATTACTTATTTAAGTTAAAGGATTTTTAAAATTAATGATTTACTGACATTTTATTATAAATTCCAATGCTGCCAGAGATTTATGGGTTATAGATTAAATTTCAAAATGTTTTCTCATTATAATTTGCAGCTGAAAGCCTAACACATTGAAATGAACAAAACTAATTCTTTAAAGTTGTCATACGGTACCGTACCTGAAGTACAAAATGTTTTCATAGTATATTTTTAGCATGAAACTGTGATAACGCACGCATAACAAAAGTAAACTGACGCAATTGTCACACGAAAATTGCACTTTCGTTTACTGTTATTTAATTTCATTTGTCTTCGTTCGTGTTAATTAAATTTTTCACGATCTGAAGAGATTATGCGCCCCATCAATTTTTTTTCGCGACCCAAACATTGGGTCGCGACCCATATGTTGCGGAACGGTGTGCTACGCTACAGCTAAAATTTAAGTATGAAAGGACTACTTTACAATTCACAGATTGCATACAGGCCTAAGAATCAAATTATAATTATAGTTCAGTATATGCCTTGTTGATACAGTATTGTACTGTGAAGGGGTGCATTGGTAGCATTCGTGACACTCGATTACTTTGAGTACTAATGGGCCCCCAACCACATGACTCATCGTTTATAGGCCTATGCCACTGAATGCATGATGAAGAAAAAAATCAAATCAAAATCATATGATTTATTACAGCTTTAATTGATAGACACTTCAATGATGTTAACAGAATAATGAATAGGCGTAGCTTGGTCCTACTCTGTGGTATAAGTAAGTTAAAAAAAAACCAAAAAAAAAAAAAAAAAAAAAAAAAAAAAAAAAAAAACACACATGTTGAATACATTCTGAATTGGGATTAATACTCATTCATTATTTTATCTTAAAGGCAACACAAGAAACAACGAATGAAAATCAAGCGGAGGCAAGTACAAAAACTATTCAATAACAGTAGTTTTGATATGGTCATCTTTCTGAATTGTATACCGTACTATATAATATTGACTGGCATCTCAAGAAATACGGAAGGCCTGTTATTGATCACTTGCTCAAAAAAGAATTAGTGGCCTAATAGTGATTGATAATTTAAAGTAAATAAGGGTAGACCAGACCTATCAGTGGTAATTTGTTTTTTATTTTGGTAGACATACATGGAGTATGGAGGCGAGCTGAAAACAGAAAACCAGACGTATCAAGATTTAAGAAAAAACGATGACCAGGTTTATGTAAATATAAATGAAAAGAAAGGGAAACGAGCCTATTGAAAATGCCTTTTGAGCCGCAAACGACGTCTATCAGTAGTACGGCATGCTGATCCAGGAAGTGGGCGAAGGTCAAATAGGCATATGACTATATAACGGTCGATCATTTTTATTTGTTTTTCTTTCGATGTATTATAAATCACATCACGTTACTACAATAATATTTCTATTCTTAATCCCTTCACAAGGAAAACATACACACGAGGTACTCAAGACTCACTTTGAGGCTTAAAGGCAAATTTAGTCTTGTCGTGAAGAATAATAATAAATAATAGTCATAAGATTTATAAAGCGCACAAATCCACTGCAGTAGTGCTCAATGCGCTACAGGAGGAAGGAACCAAAAATTAGTGAACCTAAAAGAAACACCACACCATCACCGCGCCGATTACAGGCAATTTGAGGCACAGGGGCCGGCGTATTCATAACTCACAGGTACCCAAGTACTATGGAGGTATCTAACTAAAACAACTTTTTGGATTTATTAGGTGTAAACAGCCCACGAAAGTCTAGAAGAAGACTTATTTCCAGTGGGATCCTTCTAGTGGTGATTGGGCAGTACACCGGGCAGCGATTTTTTTTTCCGTACGAAACATTTACATGAAACTCCACTCGGGCCGTCTCGGCTGAATCGACCCGAAAATCTCATTGCAAGAATTCAGGAGGTCAAAAGGTCATCAACAGATAAACGTCTACAGAACAACCAACTTCTGAGAGAACGTTGCTGTCTGATTTTTAAAAATACATTGATGTTACCATGTTATACCAACGGGTCGTTTAAAATGACATATAATATTTGATTAAGCTGCACGAGTAATGAAAAGTGTTATTTTAACTTGAGTTACATATTATGACAATTTTAATTGTTTAGTTAGGCCTGGGTTTTGCATAATACCTAGGCCTACAAGTAGGCCTACTAAAAACGCTTTCTGGGAAAAGCACAAAGTGTAAGGAAAAGCGCGTTTTTCTTCATCACTGATCAAATGAAACAGAATGACAGTTATTTTCAAATTAAGAGAAGAGCTGAGAATAGGCAGCTCTAAAATACTGGATGCCATAAGACCTGCCAAAATGGCAGAGCACCAAATGAATGTAAAAATGAGCTAGTTATTAATATTAGGCATAGTAATCGGCAGGTTCTTGATTACAAGGCTAGACTAAGTTAATTACATGTAATGCCAAAATGATAATACTAATAATAATAATAATTATTATTATTATTATTATTACCTGTACGTTAAGGGGAACTTAGACAAAGGGGAAAAAACACAAAAGATATTCCCCTTGGGCTAGTT